TCTTTCCTGGCGGGGCTGGGCGTTCGGAAGGCCCTTCTTAAACGTCCAGGGTACTTCTCAGCTCTAGCCTTGGTAGAACCCCGCCTTCTTGGGGAGCGCACGGAAGGGGGTATATAGGGCCCTAGGGCCTCGGATCTTACTCCCCTTTCTCTCTTTCCTTCCGACCTCAACTAGTGGCCTTCCAGTGCACCCAGAAATTACATGGAGCGCCAAGGGCACAGAAGGGTGAATTGTGCAGGTCAGTTTGGGGGGGAGTGGAACGTGGGAAAGGCTCGTTAGTGGGAGGAGGGCGCAGAGCTGGTGGGGCCCTGTTCCCTAGCAGGACCCGCTCTATCGCTCTCTTCCCCACCTCTAACCCCTCGCCTTTCTCTGCTGGGAGCGTGAGCGCCGTGGAGAGCTCGGAGCCGAGCACAGACTCCGCACAGCAGGCAAAGTAGAGAGGGCGGACTGAGCCCTGCGGGAGAGCGTTGTAGCCTGGGGCCGGGGAGGCGCGGAGGCCTCCTACCTGAGTTGAGGCTGCCCTCCTTGAGGCTGGAGGAGCTCAGGTAGTCGTCCTTGCACACGAACTTGTTCTCGTCGATGACGTAGAGCTCCTCGCCGGTGGACAGCTGCTTGTTACACACCATGCAGGTGAAGCAGTTGAGGTGGAAGACTTTGCTCCGAGCCTTGCGCACCAGGTCGCTGGGAGAGATGCCTTGCGCGCAGCCAGCGCACTTGGTGCCAAAGCGCCTGTGGACACAAGGCACCTGTCCCGGTGAGGTGGGCTCTGGGCCCAGTTCTCTCCAGCCCCTGACCTCTTCCCATCCACCCTGGCTTCCAAGCTGCCTGCATATCCACATCTGTCAAAAAATAATAATAAAAGCTCCCATCCTGCCCTTCCTGGCCAGAGCTGACGCGGGACCAACGTTCTGTATGGTATTTGGGACTGGGACTGCTCTGCTTCTCTCAGCTGGCTTTACTGGGACTCTCCTGGTCTGGGAAGGGTGCAATCTTCAGCCAAATGGAGAGCCCCAAGCACCCCACTGTCTTCCTCCTCACTCCCCCTGCCCCCACTCCTGTCCCTGCCAGACCGGCCTGGGCTGCTCAAGGCAAACTCAGCTCTCAGTTCCACGAAGGACTGAAAGCCGTAAAGCCACGCGGGATGGGATCGGACCTCCTGTTTGGGCCTCCGAAATCCTTTATAGGGCCAGTCTGCCTATCTGCCTGGTCCTTGCAGGGTGGTAGTGTATTTGAGCAGGAAAGGGGGGAACCTTCCTCTGAATTCCAGTGCTATTCCCACTTTGGGACCTGCTGGAACTAGCCAGCGGGACCCTAGACGGGTAGACTCTTTTAA